ATTATCGGCGTCATAACTCGAGACCATACTTTCCTGATACCAAATATAGAGGAAAGGGTAGAAACGGTGTCACAGTCTAATCACATTTCCACGTTGACCCTCGTAAGAGGGTATTGGCAAATCACTTATACGGAGCATGCTAACCGCTATTCCACTATTCTTTCTATATTCGGAACATATCATCCACTCATGCAGAGTGTTGGACTGAAAAATGCACCTTATTATTTTACTGACTTACTGGGCCGCGTTGTTAATGACCTGTCCGAGTTCGCACTGCCGTATCTCGATGATGTCACCATCTTCTCAAACAGCTGAGGAGAACGTATGAAGCATATATCAATAATGCTGAACAGGTGGGGAAAAGCGGGTGTTGCCGCGAAATCTGCATAATGTCACCTTGAGTGCGGCGAGGTGTCTTACCTGGGACACGTTTTGTAGCGTGGCCGGCGTAGACCTTCAAATATTAAAGTAGCAGCCGTCGTTAACTATCCATGACCAATCACAAAATCGAACATAAAGGCTTTTGTGGGCCTGACCGAATACTATCAGAATTACGTGCGAAACTACTCTGCCACTGCCATCCCTCTAACTGACGCATTTCGAAAGTTCAAGCAAGTTAAAGTGGCATGGAACTCGGAAAAAGGGAATGCGTTTTGCAAGCTGAAACAGGGCTTACGTGAAAAGCTCGTTATAATGACGCTCGGGTTTTCTAAGGGCTTTGTGATTCAATTAAACGCGAGTGACCGGGGCATGGGAGTTATATTGTGCGAGGAAGATAGCGCTGGTAACGAAAATATTTAAGCCGAAAACTGAGCTTGAGGGAAGAGGCATACAATACCTTTGAAAAGGAATGTGCCTGCCTCGTACTGGCCTGTTATGTATCCGATTCGAAGTTTGTGGTAAAAACGGACCACCCCCCTTTAACCTGGTTGAATAACATATCGACTAGAAGTGGCCAGTCACTGATCTGAAGCATGATGTTTCAACAGCACAATTTAGACGTTCGTTATAAGAAAGGAAAGCTATACGTTTACGCAGATGCGTTGAGCCATGCGTTTTAGTCAGTACTTTCTTCGGCTATCTTTTCAGTCTTTCGCTGGCGGCTTGGGGCAAAATTTTATGCTCATTGTGGCCTTATCTGAGCACTTCCGTGTCGAGTGATCTCAAGGGACCAACTCATTGTGTATTCTATTTTATTGCGTTTGTTGCACTAAATTTTCAGCTCTCATTTTAAAAGCTTTGTGTCCCACATTCGCCTCTTAATGTAGAGGGAACGAAATTTCGATACACATAGCTAGGAATATATTACGCTTTATTGTGTCTAGTGTTCAGTCAAATGACCAAGGGCGCTTGCTTTTGTTGTGTGTTGTCTGTTGCTGAACCATTCTTGAAAAGTTGCAGAACCATCAACAAGTGCTGAGACCAAAGATCGTCAGAAGTGACGATTGAAGCTAGCCAAAAAATCCTGGTGACAAGCCAGTCGAGCTGGGGCCCTTCAAGAACGAGATCTGTTGATGAAAGTGAGCCATGGAGCCAAATTTTTTTCATGGCCCTGGAGGCGAACCTGGAGGGACCTGGCGAACGAGTGCGCCCGACATCCGAGCCACGTGGAAGCAGCTCGTCTTTCTGGCGCATTGTTGGGTGTCTTATACAAACGCCTTTGCTTGCCACATTGGAAGAACTGACAGTGCTGCGTGTAACCATTGCAGCGCTGACGAAACCATCAAACATATATTGTGTCAGTGCCCTCAGTACAGCTGTCAGAGGCAGTCACTGTCAGCAGTGTTTGCCCGCCTTGACGATCAGCTGCTTCCCGAAAAATCAGTTTTGGAATGCCGGAAAGACGAGCTTCACGCCGAAAAGCGACAAAGGCCCTCTTGAAGTTTCTGCGAGCGACCCGTCTCGTCGAACGATTGTGACATTACAGTGTGTGTGTGTGTGTGTGTGTGTGTGTGTGTGTGTGTGTGTGTGTGTGTGTGGGTGTGGGTGTGGGTGTGTGTGTGTGTGTGTTTTCGCTTCCATTCCTCTCTCTCTCTGATTTCCTCTTCCTTTCTTTTTTTTCTCCCCTTCTTCAGTGTAGGGTAGCAAAGTAGATACTTGCTTTCCAGTTAACTTGCCTGCCTTTCTTCATACCATCTCTCTCTTGTGGCTTTAAAGAAAGCACAAAATATTTTTTAGTGGCTTAATGGCTTAGGTGTTTTGCTGCAAAGCGTGAGGATGTAGGTTTGATGGCAGACTACGCGGGCAACATTTTTATGTGGACGAAATGTAAGAACACCGACGTATGTAAATTTATGTATGCTTCCAAGAACTCGGTGATGTCAATCTTTATCATAGAAAAAAGGAACATTAGGCGGATATTGAGTAGTTGCTGATTCGAACGGTGGAAGCTTGGCAAAAATACAAAACACAAAGAAAACAAGGTAACGGGGGCATCAGTATCCGGGTTGTATACAGGCTTTGCTCACGTCAACAGGGTTTAATTGGGGTAGCGTGGGTTGAGGTTGTGGGTGATGGTTGAGGAGTGGGTTCATGTAGGAAGAATCATGAATCGGCTGGGCTTCTGGTAGGAAAGCCGCGTCATTATGTTTCTCCAGAAAATACACGACCAGCAACTGCACTTAGAAAATTTATGATGAAAGCGGTTTGTTAACTTTTATTAGCTTAGAGAAACACTAAACACAAACAATAAACTAGTTTAGACTGAAAAATTATGCAAATTATGCTACGAAAACTTTAGTTTCTTTAAATTCACCCGATTTCAAATAATAGGTGAGAAAATCAATGTCAAATGTCTGAAGTTTTTCCTCAATATATTTGATGGAGACATCACTGTACTTTAGGTTCACCACGTTGGCACAACGAAATTTTTTAAACCTGGACCATACGTCTTGGCCTCCCTCCGAAGACAGTGTAGTTAATTTTAATAGTTAGGGATTACGCAGGCCTATATAGTGGACGCCGTCAAAATCGGAGACGTCATGACGACAGGTGCGAGATCTTAATGGGAACGTTGGCACCCACAATTTCTTCTCATGTGTTTTTTGTAGGAAGAGTGGTGTGTTTAGTATGGCGAAAGAGTAATTTACTATTGCGCGAAAAGTAGTTCATAGTATTTGGTGTTCCTTTAAGCTTTAATACTTCAGTATTTACTATACTGGGTAGATTATTGAGCTCCTTTTGAAACGTTTATACCTATTTGCTGTAGTGTACTAAAGTTGTGAATCAGATAACTCTACACAATCAATCTCTCGGGGACCAGTGTGACTGGTGTGAGCTCGAAGCTAATTGCTGCCACATTAAGATGTTGTGCCACTGTTTTCTGTAATTTCTTCGCCGTGCCCGCGCGACCCCAGTTTTCAGATGAATGGTCAGTGATGTGACGTCACTGACCAACCATTTCAAAAGTAGCAAATCAAGGATGATGAGATGTCTTAAGCAAGATAAGCCCACCTATCGAAACGTCGGCTAGCCTGTGTGGGGCATGCATTCAATAATTCATGTTTAGAAAACCGGTATACCACATTGCGTTTTCATCGGTTTCTACCTAATAAATTTTAAATGAAACATTGAAAGCCATACTAATATAGTTTACGTGGGCAACAGCCGCATTAACATGCACCCAATATGGTTTCCAATGTAGCTTTGTTGAGAACAAATGTCGAAGTAGAGCGTGCGCTTACATTTTGCACGTTTGGTGTCACTGGATCAAAGGCTGAGCGCCATACGTCAGCCGTCTTCGGATGTTTTTGGCACGACAGTCAGTTGTCGGTAGAGCGTCGAGGTGTTTTTGGCGCTTTTTAATATTACATAGAAATGTGTGTAAATAAAGGTAGTCATTTTGTTCAAACCAGACATGTTGAAATGTAAAGTTTGTAATACATGCTTCTGATAAGGTCCCAGTGGCTTCACATTCCCCCCCCCCCCTTTTTTTTTAGGGAAAATTCGCAGTAGCATGCTAGGTGGTGCACCGTTGCTTACGTAGCATTTCAAGGGGCATGTGATCCACGTAAGGGGGAGGGGAGCAGATGGAAGAGGTAATACCCCTTTCTTGTCACAGAATTTTTAAATTTTTTGTGTGTTTATACACACGCATGTACTTACATAAATGGTCTTGTTATTCTTGCCATGCACGGAAAATTTGCTGAAGTGAACTCGAACGAGGTTGTAGTGTACATTAACATTTAATGAAAGCGTGATTTGGTTTCAACGGGTTGAACTCTTCAGCGTCGTTATTTTGAATAGAGTGTTGCTGCCGTCGACGTCCTCTATAGAAAGTGCGGCAGCAAATCTTCCACGGCAAAAGAAATGGATCGTACTTGACGTTTGCGGGGAACACTCCTTGTAGAAGTAAGACGCCGGGTTTTTTGGTTTCTATTTTCGTTGCACAAGTACTCCGTGCGGCATTATCAAGAGTTAAAATATAAAAGTGTGTTTCCGGGACAGAACACAAAGTGGCCGATGCTAAAGTGCACTGACAAATCTCAGGTTTACGGCCATGCTGTGTGACCCAATATTTGCAGGGGGTGAGCGCGATCCTCGGGAAGTTGCGTACAGCTTTTCAGGCAGTGTTGTAGTGTTGCTTATAAAGCAGGCGCAGCGCTCAGCTACAGTTTCAGTTGGCGCACGTATCTATTGCCTACTTCGTATTGTAGAGACTTTTAACTAGTAAATATCTTGCATCAAAGTTCATATTTTGCAAGGTTTTTTTTGGTATACTATTTAAAAAAAAAGAAACTCGATTGCGATCGTGAGTAGTTTACATCTTGAAATCGATGAGAACGTTTGCGCGTTTCGTTTCTGTATAGGAAGGCGGCTTTACTGAGCAAGAACTTGTGTGCGTACTCAATGGCCAGGGCACCCCAAGGCTTAGGAACACTAATCAAAATACCCTGCCATATGATACATAATACTTTCTTGTAAAGACGCTTGCAGTGCGAGTAGAAATTAGACGATGATAGCAATACGACCACTGTCCAACTATTTCTTTTTCTTTCCAGTTCGTCGCCCAGGCCGTCCCACTTGCACCCTAAATTGACGGAGAGCCAACAAGCACAAGTAATGTTTTTCAAATTGCGATTGCCTTGTAATTGTAGATTTGTGGTGGGCTGTGTTTCTTAATGAAATCCAATAAAATATATATATAAAGTTTGATGTTACGACACTGTCCACTGAATTGCATTGAAAACGTTAAAACTTATTTAGGTCTCTCGGCATGTGGCGAGACAGCCAGTTTCTGCAGTCAAAATATGAGATGTTAACGCAATAGTGGTAAATGGCTCGTGTTGTAGAAAATGTAGTGTTGGTAACGGCGGCGTTGTCCGTAAGCGAAGAATCCAGATGAATGCAGTCTGGGTTCGAGCCAGACTCGAACGCAATCTGGGCTACAGATGCCATTGGCGGCTGGAATGACATACCTTGCGCCTGTCATCTGGTTGAGTATTCTGTACTCTCAGCAATGGCTCTTCTGAGAACACAATTCTTTCAGGAGTATGTATGCGAGTCGTAGGCCCGACAACCTAATCGCGTTCTACTCTTGAGGTGAAGCTCAGGCATGCTCAAGTTTTTCTCCCCACGATAAAGTACTTTCTAATACACACAAGACATCCACCGCTTAGCTCACAAATGTCACACTTTATTGCAAGTGTTCTGATTATACATAATTCGGAAATGGCAAGAAACCGCAACAGAAAATAGAGAAATGAACAGCACACAGTCATTCACTGTTTGGGAGGGGTAGTTTTTACTTGAGTAGAAGAAAGTGAAATAAAAATAAATTTCCCGCGAAAAAGCATGGTCTGCGTCAAAGGGTTGTAGGGCTTCGGGAAAATGCTCAATCTTGGCCAAATTTTGCATGCAGCCGGTGAAATTGCGCAACGCTATGTTGATTGGGTACACTACAGTAAATGTTGCAATGTCAACTGGAAACCAGAGGCGTGCGAAAGTTCGGAAAATACGTAGCATCTTTTGTCTTTCGTATTACACGCCCCGTAAACATTTTATGGCGGCAGAAGCAACATGTTGTCATAATTTATTTTCAATAGTCGTGCACTGAGCGTAAAAACAAACACGAATAACGTTCAGCGATTCTGTACATACAACTCTCGGGAGAAAATATATTTCAAGGCGCTTTATGTTGTCAATTTACTTAAACTAACAATTTTTTTTCCACTGACGGTCCGGCTCTGGTGAAGCGGCATTTTAAAATTCACCCCAAATGCCTTGGCGCTTGCACGTCGTAAATTAAGGGCACCAAAAGACTTTGCGGCACCTGAGCATTGACGAGGCTGAACAGGAGGGGTTCAAACAGAACCAGATTAATACCCGATAGTTACTAGTCAAGCTAGCACTGGCTCGGCAAAAGCGAATGTATGATGTAAGCTACTGTTCTCTGGTTCAACAACAGCGCGCTCGTGAGCCATACGCTAGCCGCAACGACGGTGACTGTTTGCTCTCTTATATAGCACAACAAAAATGCGCTGAGCACTATACTTTTCTCTTTTCATCAAAGCGCAGGCTTTCAAATGCTCCACCTCATAGCATCCATGCAGTCGGGTGGAAACGCTGACCGTGACGCCCACGTGAGGTCACACGTGAGGTCTGCAGGTAACGTTGTGATGTCCGTATACGACGGGGACATCTCTCCATGCATGTCGTGAGGTTTCTTAGTGTGATTATCCCGCAAGCATTTCTGCAAACCGCATGCTCGTGAAAGTTTTTCCCTCCCGTGGTTGAGCATTGAGAACATTTATACAGGGTGTACCACTGCACGGAATTTACGAGGTGCAGTTGATAAGGAGTATAATACAGGCACTCTTTAAATGCACACTGACAGCAAAAATATACACGCTTTTATGTACAGGATATATGTTATATGAATGACACAAAATCGGTGTACGAAACAAAATAATGCTGCATCAGGGCAAATGATTATGAGCGTAAAGCCACAGTGGACATTTTACCGAAGTCGATCAGAGCTCGCTGGATCTGCATTTTGAAGCAAGTATTCCCACGAATCAAAACAGTCCCATTTACAAAATATCTAAAAAAAGCCCCTTAAAAATTTTGATAACGCGAAGGTGTAAGTTTTTTCTCCTTAAGTAATTATTTACTGTTAATCAATAATTTCATGTCAAACAACACTACCTTCGAAGATCCAGCTTCCACGTTAAACGTGTAACTACAAAATAACTGAGGAAGCAGTTAAATACACCGGTCATATCCAAATCTTTACGAATTGGCGCTTGTGCGCAGCAGCCTTCCCGCTCACCGAACTCGCCATTTAGGTAATGTCCAGTATACCTCTAATAATTTTCATAGCTTGGTTTTATTTATCCACTAAATTATTTAGATCACGTTCGCAAGTCTCGGTAAATCTCAATGAATTGCCCTATGTTCGCCTCCTACATATAAACGTGGCCACCTCTGCAGTGTTCACGTTTCCCATCAACTTAATTTCCTTGAGGCCATCGAAGGGGGACAGACGGAATGTGCGAATCACCGAACAGGCACGTGCAGGTAACGTTTATGAGCAATAGAGTGATTGCTTTTCTTGAAACTTCTGCACGTGCACTTGACTGCTTGCGTGCCGTATGAACAAAAAAATCTCTCGTTTTATAGGCGCAATAATTACTAAGGTCGTAAAGTTATGCCTGTATAATATCTGTTTTAAGGTTTATTTCAAGGATTAACTATGATTTGATACGAAAGAAACGGGGCTGACACAAGTAGAGAGAGTGGTTCTTGTGTCCCCACTAAGGGTCCATCTGCCTCAGGGCCACCTGCACTGTGAGCGCTCGGCACTTTAGTCAGCTGCATAAGCCGTGGAGTCGGGGTCGGAACTTTCTTGACGTTGCTTTTACTGCCTCAATTCGGCCGTGTGTCACGCGGAGTTAGCACGGCTAAGCCACCACACGTTCCGCATCTTTGGGATCAAGGTTGCTGCGGTCGATAAACGGCATACGAAATACAGTGTATATGTGTGTCCTTAAAAGAACTGAAATTTGGATGAGTTTGTACTTGAACATGGTGGTATTTAAAGCGCGTTAACAGACAAGAAATGATATAGAGTTACACAGACGAGCGCTCGTCTGCTTAACTCTGTGTATTATTTCTTGTCTGCTTACGCACTTTAAATACCAATGTATGTCCTGTTGCACGGTTGAAATATTTTGCATTGTCTTTCCCATTTTTACCCTTGTATACTGCTCAACCTCAATTTCCAAAGTGTTCCAGCAAAATTGGAACAGGAGCACTTGTCATCTTGTAAAGTGTCCTGATTTCTGATGTCTTTTCTCACTCCACATCGTTTTGCTCTGCTGTACTTCTGGAAGCCCCGTTTTAAAAACTACCGTAAAATAAGCTGCAAATCCTTGTAATCTTGTGAAGTGTTAAGTTGAAAGAGAATATTTTTGCAACATGTCTATTCAAATATTTCTTAATACATAAAATGTGGTCGACGAAATAATGACATTATTGTAAGCACTGCTCACAAATTGATTCCTGTGAAGCAGCGAAGTGATGCGCATGGTTTGGTCGGCGTCATATCTCAAGTATTAAGACATTCCTAATCTGTCAATACGATATTAGAAGCCGCGTTTATTGCTGTCTTTATTACGCTCCAATGATCAGTCACTAACTAAATTACCAATTTGAGCTTTGAAAAACTCCGAGCCTTAGCGCGGACTGCATAAGCACTCCACCTCTCTCTGTAAATCGCGCGTAGCTTTCTTGTATTTCGTAATTCCTTGCCAAAATTTCATTCCTATGATTGGAACATCATGTTTTGCGTTACTAAACATGAACTGAGCCTTACAAAGTGTGTTATTTTCAATTCTCAATTTTCCATCACTTACTATATAGGTGATAAGTAGCGTTTAGGCATAACTTTCATCGGAGATTGACGCAAATACCTGATCTGCCTAAGGGGAGATGCTCGTCAGAGATTGACCTTTCTAAATACGAACTTACCTTGATAAAATTCCTGCAATACATCGAATTTTATCTGGTATTGTACAATGTATTTTTTTAGTTTGATGATTATGTAATTTTGTGGCTCCACCGGAAACGAAAAAAAAATATTTGGGTTTCTTACGAAATGTACAAGTGTTGTACAAAATCTTATAAACAAATCACGAATAATTCAAAATAAAACGTTATTTGTGATTCTGAATTGAAAAACTGTAATTCTGGAATGCCATTATTGAGGACTATATTGAGGATTACCTGCTTTTAAAATTGGCAATATTACCACATTAGACTTGAAGTTTACATGTGCTTTTTGTATTTCTGTGTAGATGTGCCTAACAATTATGACTAATAATGGTTAACGTTCAGTGTAATACTCGTAGTGCACGAGACAATAAGTACTCTAAAACAACAGGGAAACTGAAGATTGTTGTTGTACAAGATAATTTGCTTAGAAGTAGGGCTAATTGCAGGCCACGTTTTCCAGAACAAGTGTATACGACTTGACAATTTTCCGGCAACACTAAGTTGTATTCTTAGAACACTCGCAGGCTGTTTTCTTTTTTTTTGAACTTCTATGAAGTGATTGTTATAGCTACATCTGACCGTTCTACCAGACATTCTTTTGATATGTCGCTGTTCTAATTGCAGTTGTTCAGAGCAGTTATCTCCCGAGTTCAAAATGTTTCTAGAAACTATTCAAAAGTTTTGTGGCCCCTGTTGAGTGGCGGCATGGTCACAGTAATGACCAAAGCTGGACACTAGGTCAATAATGAGTGTGTTGACGCCCAACTACGGAACCCTGGAGAGACTCAACTGCGTTTTAGGTCTGCCGTGAGCACAGCTAGACAACAGTTTCTCTTCTGCCAGTTCTTCTATGCCGTTGCCGATTTTGAGAATTTCGATAACCTCGAGGTGGCTGTCCTGCTGCTATTGCTCGCTTCTCGATGAGCGCGAAAAATAGCCACCTAGAAGCAAAAACTTCGAGGGGCGAACGTCGTTAGTATAGCGTGAATTGAATTATGAAGCTCATGTAGTTAATATGCCTCGAGCAGGACGAGTTGTCGCAATGTAATGATTGCACAAATGGCCTGATTTTTCACTCACACAACTGGAATATTGAAGCGTACATTTTGGCAAATAAAATAAAAAAAATATATTTTTAAAGAACAACGCGGCTGTTAGACTGACA